ATTTTGGAGGGACTCTATTTGATCCACCCTAGTCCCTTTTCCACATGTGATCCTAGAAACACTTGGAGAAGATGCCCAATCCTGACCTGTGTTCTGATTTTGCAAGCTAAGTAAGTTTGTCATTGGATTTGGATGTGATGGTGATAGTAGTTATGGTGGCAGGAGGGTGGTCCTGAGGATGATGGTGGTGGAGTTGGTGGTGGCAAGAATGGTAGTATTGGCAGTTGAGAGGGTGGAGGAGAATGGAAAAATACAGAGAGAGGTAGGGATTTTAGAGGGCAGGTACCTTGAATGAAACGCCCTGGGGAATGGAGCCTTGGAGTTTGGGAGTTCTGTGATCTCAGGCAGCCCTGCTTGAGTGTCTGCCGTACAAAGATTGGACCTAATTCTCAAATGCAGAATGGTAGGAGAAGACTGCCATATTGGCCGATGTACAGAATTTCATCCTGGATTCTGAATTTGGTGAGCACTTTTCACTGGGCAGGATGGAGTAATAGACAGAGCCCTCGTCTGCACCTGGGAAAGCTGTCTTCCTCATTACCTGCCTTGCCTTTAACTAGCACATGAGTCATCTCACTGGGGAGGATGAACTAAAGGTCTGCAGCATCCTTCCCAGGGCTAGCATTTTAATATCTTTCCTGGGCTTTCTCCATCTTGGGGTTCCCACAGATGAGGATCATCTGCAAACAAGCCTGTGTTCTTGGGCAGTGAAGATGGCTCACATTTTTTCATCATAAGGAATTTGAAGTCTTTTAAGGAACATGATAATAGCCAGAGCTGATTTAATGTCTGTGGGCCTTCCTCATACTCATTTAAGGCTCTCCGGAGCCATTTCCTGCCTGGCCATGTATTTGTTCAGATTAAGAAATATTTGGGTCTTTTGGTGTTTGTTTTGTTTTTGCTTTCATTGTGTGATAACGAATATCTTTAGGCCAGTGCTGTTGGAATTAAGTTTTCCCTTTAATCTCATTTTTAAAAGTAGTCTATCTTTTCTAACCCTTCCTTACCCCACTCTGCCTTCAACACACACACACACACACACACACACACACACACACACACTAGCTTTATCCTATTTTATAAAAATATAAACAGTGGCCCCATTCCTAGTGACCATTTCTGATGCAAACACATTTTTTAAAAAGGAATTTTTTAAATGTAAAAAGCCAGTTCTCTGTTTAGAGGCAGGAAGGTGGAGTGCTCTTTGCAGCTCTGGTTAGTACTGGCTTTGGCCAGTTCTTACGTGTAAACAGCAATTTTCCAAACTGGAATGGGTGCTGGGGTTTTCTTTAAGGAGCCAAGGGGTATGTGGAGAGCAGCGGTGTTTAGTTAAATTACAGGTCTAGATGCAGAACTTTCCAGCAATGATTTCTGAGAGCCTGAACGCTCCCCACTGCCCTTGTGTACACGGGCAAGAGCGCGCATACTCACACATGCACACAGACACCTCCTGCTTCCCAGAGTGACCCCTTAAACCATAAAAGGAGGGGCGCCTGCTGGGAGAGGGGGCCGTCCCCACATGGTTCAGGGCTGTCGGGTCGGTATCTGGTGTCTCTAATGGTGGGAAGCACTCACATTCCAACGTGTTATCTGCAACCTCTCCACTAAAAACTCAAAGCAAAGGAAATTTAAGATCAATTTCCTAATGGATTTTGGACTGAGCTCTCTGAAACAGATGGGTGCCTCTTTCCATCTCAGTTCACTATGGACCTGAGTGGGGCCATCTGAACATTTGGGGGTACAATCGCTGCTTCCTTGTATGGGTAATCTATGCCCTGTATGCTTTCCTGTATGGGTACTCTACTGGTGTTTAGGCTGCAGGTTAGGAAGCAGCTACCTGAAGGGCCCATCATAGGAAGAAAACAGGTGGCTCTCTTCACTGGGTGGAGAGGATTTTTTTTTAATAACCCAAAAGAGTATAGAGCCGGGGGGCCTGGGAACTTTGTCCAGCTCACTGTATCCAGGGTTAAAGTTCCAGGGATACTGGATGGTTCCTGGGGCAAATAGAAGCCAAGACTCAAGGGGTGGGACTGGAGTTGCCCTAAACGCACACCCATGCATGTGCATATGCATGTGCGTGCACCCTCGCGTGTCCGTACAAACCTTGCATAGTATTGATGGGAATTTGAGGACTTCCATTTAGTCCCCCTGAGAGTCAGGGCACAACATCCCAGCCCTACCCACTTCCTACCTTCCTGAGTAGCCATGGAGGTGGCAAGGAAACCGAGAGAAGAATGTGTGACTCTAGGGTCCTCTGCCTCCAGTGTCCCTCAGCAGAATGCAAATTGTGGAGCAGGCCACAGTCCATTTGGCAGTCATGCTGGCAGGATTCTCAAAGTAAATCACTTCCATTTCCCCCAGCAAGCCCCTGGTGAGAGAGGTCACTGTGCACAGCCCTGTTGCCCCCCACCCCACCAAGCTGTGCCCCTGTCTTCTAAAGCTGAGATACTGGTGAGCAGCTAATCGAGGGTTGCCCATCTTTCCACTAGGCTTTTCACGTTTGGGAGGTTTTGATTAAAACAGTTTCCTTTTAGTGTTTGCTGAGGAGTAGGATCCATCACTGTATCTGAGCTGGTCCCTGGAGAGGATGTTTTAGTAACTTGGACACTTTGGTGCATTGTCTGGGATCTGCAATTTCTCATCCTTCTTTTAAAAAAAAGTGCTTTAGAGGCTTTTGGGGACTGCATAGATTTATAGCTGGGTGGCTGCCTCTGTGTTTAGGGCTCTGGCTATGCAGGTTTACAGCTATAAGGCAACAGTGGATGGTGTATGAAGAGAGATTTTCATTTCACCAGTTACTGGGGAATGAACAATCTGTTGACTTCTGTTATTTGGAATGAAGACATGTTGTTGGTTGAATTCTCTGGGTCCACATGAACATTTGGAATATAGACAGGGCTGCTGTATACCCGCCCAACTCTATACAGTGTAGAAATGAGACCGTGGGGTTCAGGTTATAGTACGGCTCTCCAGAGTTTCTTTAAGTTGAGAACTCGACTAGTGTGTGTTGGTAGATCACGTTAGTGTTTCTTTACAGATATTTAATTACTTGGCTGGAGTAAAGGGAAAAAAGGAATGAAAAATCGGAAATTAAACTATTGGGAATCTTTGCCCATCTGAAATCATGTAGAGATGCCGGAAAGTGTTTTTGAAATTATAGTGGAAGACAGTAGGGCAATAAGAGTTGCCTTTTCAAAGGCACGTTTTTGTATAACGTGTCTTTTCGCCGCATGCGTAGTTCTGAGCTTGAAAGGTGAGTCTAGTAACTGACTTTGGATTCAGTTACGGTGACCATTTATTTGGTGACCACATGGTGCCCTGCTAGACACTTTCGCATATGTTACTTAATTTACTGCTAATAGGAACCTTGTATGGTAGGCCAATTATTATATCTTCATTTTATAGTAGCTTACATTCCACAGTCTATTAGAACGGAAGCTCCAGCACCTCACACTTAAATGTATCTGTTGAATGAATACATTAGGAAAGTTAGATTCGTAAAGTGTGGTGATTCATGAGTGTAGGGAATGATTTAAATCTGGAAAGGGCTTGATGGAGTTTTGCCATTCGAGTGACCTTAATTTACTGGGGAAACTTAAGGAATGGATGAGGAGGGAGATGGACGATAAGGAGCGAGCATAGGACGCCCACCAGGTAATGAGAGGTACTTGGAATCAGTGCTGTGCACAGTGGTGGGATCATCATAGAGTTTTTCATATGTACTGTCTCATCTAATCCCCCGTTCATATGGAAAGGGGTGAAAAAATAGTCAGTCCCAGCTTTAAACACATGAGCAAGCCACTGCTTGGTTCTAGTGGGCAGGAGGAAGTAGGCAGTAGGTGGTATACTGAGTTGTTAGGACAGTGTCCTCTTAAAACACCGTGGAATGTCCATGGCAAGGATATTCAAGTTTGGGGTCAACCAGCAGGCTGTGGTGGCATGTGTCTTCTGTGGGAGCTACTAAGCTAAAGCAAGAGTTCCCTGGAGTCTGCGAGCCTCTCTGCATCATGGCCATGATGCTCATGGATTCATGGGAGTTGGGCATGAGGTGGGACCTTGGAACCCTGGTCCAGCATCTCGTGCTGCAGAAAACGCACACCTAGGAGGAAGTACGTCCTGCCCAGGGTCACACCCAGAGTTAGACCCAGGAGCCGGATTTCCAGTGTGCTACAGTAACCACGGTGCCCCTGGCATCACTCACCTCAGGCTCCTGTTGAGGTGGGTTGGTTCACTCATTCACTCAGTGGATGTGCCAGGAGCCTCCCTGATGACAGGGATCCAGGCAGCTGTGGCTCCTGTACTTCAGCATCCTATATCGAGTTGCGGTGGACACAGATGACATTGTGTGTTTATAGGCCAACAAACTGGTCAGACCCTCACCTGCCAAATTCTATAATTTTTTATTGTGACAATAAAACAAAAACGGCACAAAGCCCAAACTCAATCTTTTTTTTTTTTTCACATCTGCAACATTAATTTTTTTAAAGGAATGGATTGAGAGAAAACAACGTGGTGCAGAAATATGGAATAGAAAATAAATACAAATGTAGGCTATTTTGCTAATTGTTTTATAACCACAAGAAATTAGTACAGAGAATGCCCTGTACAAAACACAAAGGTTCAAACATCAAGGTATTCCCTTAGCAAGGCTGAAAAGTTCAGTCTCTGGTATTTGGAATTTAGGCTGCAGTCCTTGTTTTTGGATGGATCACTGCGTGTGTGGCACAACAGTCCATGCTTTTGTTTTTTTTAATGAGATGGAGTCTCACTCTGTTGCCCAGGTTGGAGTACAATGGCCTGATCTCAGCTCAGTGCAACCTCCACCTCTCAGGTTCAAGTGATTCTCCTGCCTCAGCCTCCCGAGTAACTGGGATTACAGGTGTGTACCACTACACCCGGCTAATTTTTTTGTCTTTAGTAGAGATGGGGTTTCATCATGTTGGCCAGGCTGGTCTTGAACTCCTGACCTCAGGTGATCCGCCCGCCTCGGCCTCCCAAAGTGCTGGCTTGAGCCACCACGCCTGGCCTTTTCAATCCATGCTTTTAACCAGATGTGAACAGAAGAATGGCCACCTGGCCCAGGTAGAAGTAGATGAAGTGTTTGGTTTCATGTGTCACGTAACTACCGAAGTTCCTCCCCATGGTGCAATGCCAGGTAGGATTGTACTTCTTATCAAATTCCTTCTTGATATGAGCCGCAATGTCCTTCTCTATGTTGTATTTCTCCAGCGCCTGAGTAGCACACTCCACTGGGTCCTGTTGCATCTCTTCCAACATGTCAGCATTTTTGATCACGGCCTTTTGGTCGCACATGGTTACTGTGGAGAAGGGGGCTGGCTCACAGCAACAGTCTCCTGGAGGAGGTGCTAGCACTGCTCAGTCACGGCTTGAGCTGCTGTCACTACCGAAGCCGTGGCGCATCTCCCATACTCAGTCTTTAGGACAAAATTTATTTTCTTGATTTTTGACCCCTGCATGTAAGATTTTGGTTCCCACTCTGAACAGTTGATGTCATTGAGTATCCTACTCCTTTGGCTTTGGATGGAACTGGTGGGATTCGGAAATGTGGCCACATTTGCACATCCACCAAACATTCGGTGTCGGCTTATATGTGCCTGCTGCTGTGCCAGGCCTGGTAGAGGATTTGTAGAGGAGTCAGAGCTTACTGTCTGGAGGAGGAAGTCATTTAACACGAGGTGGAGAGCAGGGAGTGCTAAGACAGGGATATGGAGACAGTGTTAGGGGATTTCAGAAAAGGGTGGACTACCTCCTGGCTTTGGAGACATAGGAGTGGAGAGGCACCCCAAGGAAAAGGACCTGCAGGAAGAAAGGCGTGGGGATCTGGGGATTAGCTGGGCTTGACTGGGTGCAGGGTGGATCAAGGTGAATCATGGGGAATCAGAGGGAGGGATCCTGGACAGAGCTTGGAAGGGTGGTCCCCAGGTGTGGGGTCAGCATCTGTGTTGCCTACAGATGTACACACCAGCACCTAGCGCAAACAGCTCGGCGTAGACAGTCTGCGCTTCATTTTGAATCATGTGTGTGTTTCTTACTGACAGGTTTTGCGGGTAGTTTCTGGGCAGCAGGTTTTATGTGTTTAGGTCTGTTTTGTTCATGCCTCTTAGCTTTAAGATAGCTTAACATGTGGTTTTTCTCTTTTTGCTTTCCATTAGAATGAAGCTGTGCATGGTGGCCAATGAGGTTCTGAAGTCTCTGTGTCTGTATGAAACTCAGGCTTTTAGGTTGCCATCTGAATGCCTGAGATAGGCAGAGTGACTATCTCTAGCTTCCTTAGACGTCTGAAGGCCCGTGCCGTGCACCCTGAATATATCTAAAGTTGCCTTCCTAGAGAAATGTGGAGAGTGCTTTGTTTTTCAGCATCCTCTTGAGCACTGCTTCAGATAACCTGGTTAACCCATGCCTTTCTCTTGTCATTTCTTGCAGATGGTCACAAGAACAAAGAAAATATTCGTAGGCGGATTATCTGCGAACACAGTAGTGGAAGATGTAAAGCAATATTTCGAGCAGTTTGGCAAGGTAGGCACTGCATGGGATTGGATGGCACACGCCAGAAGTGGCCTCATCAGTCCTAAGAAGTGGCTGCCGTGGCCCTAGCCCCTGCTGCAGCTGTGTCCTCAAGAACTTTGTCCTTGAACCTGGCCATCGTGATTTAAGTGAAATTCAGCAGGAGCTGAGATGGAAGAGCCTGGCATGTGTTTGGTGCGATGTCCCACGTGCTGGCAGGAGCAGACAGCGTGGCCTTTTAGTGCAGTTTTGCTGGCATTTGCTGGCCACGTGGGGCCTGGGCTGGGAGCTGGCAGTGACAGTGGCTGGGGAGGGATGTGGAGCTGTGGCTCACAGGGCAGGAGCACCCACAGAAGCTGCTAGAGGCCTGCGGGGTGGGGCTGGGCTTCTTCCTTCTGTGCCTGTCTGGAAAATGCAGTGAGAGCTGAGACTCCCTGGGGCCCTTTGCTGCCTAACCCTCCCCTGTCAAATGCCCAAGGAGACTCAGAAAAGATGCAGGGCCAGTACCTGTCAGCATTTTCTGATTCTAATGTCTGTGAGACAGCAGTAAAATTATCCCCTGGGCTCTCCTGCTGGAACAGGCCGGGACCAACCCAGGAGCCCCACGGAGAGCAGGAAACAGCGTGAGAAGGTGTGTGTGACACAGAGAGCCAGACAGACAGGACATGTCACCACGGCTGATGTGTTTAATTTGGCCACTTTCTAGTGGCTGAAGGGAGATGGTATCTTGAGAGTGGGTTCTTCCTGAGGATGACACGTTCCTCAGATGGCCCTGCTGCCATGGCAGGGATGACCCTTGCTGGCTTTTGTGTATACCACCCTCCTCTGGCTCCTATGTAAATGGCAGGTTCAAGGAGGCCATGTCCCACATCTTTGAGAAATTGTGGACTTTGTGTGGGAGCCCAGGTCTGGGACAGTCTCCTCCTGCATAGGTCTAGGTCTTCCCTGCTGGAGGGCTGACGTGGGAGAGAGCTGCTGAGGCATCCTGAGAAGACACAGTGCCCGTGCTAAGCTCTGTCGCTTGTTTCCTACCATGACGGCTCTCACGCTTGCCATGGGTACAAAGGCACAGCCACCCACTGGCCAGGCTGAACGTTCTGTGCTGTTGGTTTGCCCAGGGCGATGGGCAGCTATGACCCCATCCCCAGGTGTGTCCATTTGTGAAGTGCTGTCTGGGATGAGGGCCATGACCTTTACTTAGCCTCACAATGGAGACGTTCTTGTCTCCGGTATTAATTTCTGCGTGGATAGGAGACCATGCAACAAAAAGACGCCAGCTTCCTCCTGCCCAGCCCTGCATTCCAGGTGGCTCTGGGCTGCCCTTCCAGGTTGGTGTTGAAAAGGCCTTCCCATGGCCCTTTCTGGCATTGTCAGCTGGTGATGGATTCTTTCTAGCTGGATCTAAAGAATAGCTAAGTGTGTTGATGACTGTGTGCATTACAGCACTTCTCCCTTCCAGGCTGATTTAAAGCAGGAAGGGGGATTTGTCCACTACCCAGCCCCACCCTGCCTAGGGAGAGGGATTGGAAATAATTAAACGAGACAGGTCCAGCTTGCATAATGGAAAGCTCTGGAGGGTGAGCTCTCTTTGCTATCTTTCTGCTTTTAAAACAAGTCCAGGGGTAGTGTTTGCAAACACGAGGTGGGATTTCTTTTTCGAGCCATAACCTGCCTTGGAGTCTCACGGGCCTATTTGTTTCAGGGAAGTCGGTGCTGCCCAGATGGGCTTTTAGAGTATTCCAAACAGGCTTCTACTTGCCAGCACAAAGCACATCTCTGCACGTCCCCAACCCTTGGTTTCTTCCTCTCTCCCTCTCTTTCTTCCTTTCTCTATTTCTGTCTCTCTCTCTCTGTGGTTTTTCATTAGCACTTATCATCGTGACCCAGTATGCCTCCAGTAGGACACGCTGCAAGCTCTGGCCGTCCCCACAGTGGCCACCATTGTTGTCCTTTTGTCTGAGAAGCAGTCACAAACCATCTTCCCTGGCATGGCACTCGCCGGGTCTGAAGCTGCCCAGTTAATTTTGCAGTAATGTTTGTGGACTCTAGCAGGATGTGCAGACTTATCAAGTGTTTTATTAAAAGACCAAGGAGGCTTTTGAATGTATCAAAGCCATAATGTTCTTCTATGCTCATATTTTAGTAGCTTTTTGCATACATAGGCTCTGCATTATTTGGGTCTGTCTTCAGAATAGCTTATTTCTCATTTGGCGTGTGGCTGGTGTTACTGTGTAACATCCCCCCCTTGGGCGGGACCTGCCACCTCTCAGGATTCAGGCATAACTTATTTGAATCCAGAATGATCAAAGTCAGGGAGACTCTGTTGCTGGTCCTCAGGCACAGTGCAGTGAGGAAACCCAGTGCTTGCGAAAGGAGGTAACAGGTGAATTGACCGACTGCCTCTGCCCTTTGGTACTTTATACTCCAGTTGAATGAAACAGAAAGAATATGTGCGCGTGCACACACACACACTCTTACATGAAGTACATTCACACACACATTCCTTTGCACACACATTTTTTTGGACTGTCTTTAACCAACTGCAATTTAATGAGATGTAATTTTATTATTTATAGTGACTGTGAAGATACTAGGCCAGGCCATTTACTCACATCATCTCATTTCATTTTTCTCTGGGAGGCTGGTAGTGGTATTCCCCATGTTGCAGACTGTTAAATGGGGTCTTGGTGGGATTGTCTCTGGGACTCAAGGTCGCAGCCCTCGAGGAGGTGGAGCTGGGAGTGGACGCCCCCTCCAGGCTTGTCTGATAAGAGCATCTGAACTCTGTGCCCTATTCCAGCTGCTGGTCAGTCCCCAAGATGGACTGAGGGTGGGGAGGATGCAAAGGACAGGAAGATATTGTGCCCTTCAGTGTCCCCCAGAATGCTGGGGACCTGGACATTGATCCCCTCATTTTACCTGTATGGTGGATACTGGTATCATCCTGTCCATTTGGCAAAGGTGGACAGTCAGGGCCAGGGAAGCAGAGTCTCAGCAGAGGTCACCCAGGTAAGACAGTGTAAGAGCCAGAATTCACACCCCACTTCCTTTTCCTCCACGTCTAGAACTTTTCTTTCACAGCCTCCATGCAAGGTGTTCTGGTCTACTTTCATGTCTCCTTACCGCCATTCCCCTCTCCTCTCCCTCATCCCATCCTGCCCGAGGTGGCAGCTGCTCTGACTGTTTATTTCAGGTGGCAATCAAGATGGGTAAGACTGCTATCAAGGGGCTGAGCTAAGGGAGTTTGAATATGTCATTACTGTAAGTGGAGTGGGTACAGAATGACACACCGGGAGCTTTAAATAACTTAAATTGGAGGCTTGTAAACCCTTTTGTGCTTTTCTTTCACCTTCCTCCCAGAAGATTCACCCCCTCTTCCCCAGGTTAGAGATGTTGTTACTTATTTATATTTAAGATGAGATCATGAAGTGTGGCCATTGGCGTCAGCACTCTGCCAACTGAGAAGAACAGTGGACAGCTTAGCAGAATCCACACGTCACCATGAGCTACACAGGGGTGAGGATGGCCATTCCCACCCTGGGTAGCTGTTCCAGTGTTGTCTGTCCTTGGAAAAGGGTAAGGCAGCAGATATTCTAGGCCTTCATGCTGGGCCTGATGGTGGACTGACCTCCCTGGGACAGAGGGACACGTTGCTCCTTTGCTGCCCTCAGTTTCTCTTTCCAGGGAAGGGGTTGGAAAACTTATAAAGGGCCAGATAGTAAGTATTTGCAGCTTTGCAATGCTTGTAGTCCTTCTTGCAGCTACCCACTTCTGCTCTTGTGGGATGAAAGCAGCCATAGCCAGTAGGTAAACAGATGGATGTAGTTGTGTGCCAATAAAACTTTATTTACAAAAACAGGTGATGACCTAGATTTGGTCTGTGCACCATAGACCCCTGGACTGAATGAATTATTCCTAAGGTTAGTTTTAAGCTTGAAAAGTCAGTAATGTAGAAAGTATTTAAACATGAATAGGATGGATAGATTATATCTAAGACATCTATAGGCTGTAACCAAAAGAATCCATTGTCAGTAGTAATGAGCATGGTATATAAACAGCAGTCTTGCCATGTTAGAGTTTATTTCTGGACTTCATGACGCAGAGACAGTGAAGAGATTCTTTATTTGGAAAAAGCCACTATTTATAAACTTCATCCTATGAGTAAGAGCCAGAAAAACTGTTATAGTATTTCCATCTCCCTGTTTCACAGGCTAGATGTACTTAATGAAACTTGGAATTTTTGAGGTCCAGCTTTTACTATGAAGATCCTTTTACCGTGTGCTGTTTCTGAACTGGAGTTGTGCGTGCTTGGTGCTAAGCCTTCTAATGCCTTTTACAGTGTGCTTCTTAAGCATGTCAAGTGAGATGGTTGGCAGGTCTCATATGTAGGTGATGGGGCTGATGTTGAGAAAGGTGAGGAAATTCTCCAAGATCACACAGCCGGTGCTGAGGAGCCCTGGTAGTCACTCATTGGTGCACGATCCACCCCTTGCCTCTTGTTACTGTTTCTAAAGCGCCGCCTCCCACTTTACCATCCAGCAGCCTCTTTCTCAGAAGGAGCAGGTTTTGTTCATTTGTCAAACACGTTGATATACAGTAATTTGTTTTCCTGCCCTGGGTTTCTTAGTGGACGTTATTTGTGTTCCTGATTTTATACACACAGGAATGATGTATATAGGCCACTCCCAAAAATGGCAGGTAGATGATGCTCCAGATACGCCTGTGCAGACCATGATGACGAGCTGGCCTGTTCTGCACTGTTTCCCCGGCAGAGCCACCTCGAAGACCCAGCCTGGTAATTAAAATGCACTGGATCAAAGAAACTCCAAGTACATGGGCTTCCTCCTTCTCCCCTTCAGGCCGCTCCTTCAAGTACCGGTTTCTTAAATTCTCACTTATAGGATTTTGGAGATCAAAAAGAGGCCTTTAAACTTAATGAATTCTCGGCTTCGCCCCGGATGGAGTGGTTCCGCACCTTTCAGCTGTTCCCGGCAATGATAGGGCAGCTCAAT